TCCCAGCGAGAACCGTCTTTTCCATAGCATCGTGCTAACACTGCCTGACCTGGGGCAAAGGAACGTTGTAAGGTTCCGTGTCGACGATTGAACTGTTCTTCCATTTTTCGGTTACTTACAGTGTTGTAGGTGGTTGGGCGCAACAGGTCAAACGGCATTTTTAACTTTCGGTCCATCAATGCCTCTGATGGGAAAAATCCTTTTGGTGAGTTCGGATTTGGAGTGCATCAATATAAGAACAGAAACCTTACGATGACTTCTGCGGTTGCTCCCTCCCCTTTTGATTTCTGGAGTGCCCGCGTGAAGGTATCTCTCCGCCTGGTCATTTGATTGCGGATGATAAGGCAGGGATTGAACGTGGGTAATGCCATTCCGCTTGCAGAATTCTTTGAATTGTTGTGATGTGAACTGAGTACCGTTGTCGCTAACTAGTGTTTCAGGGACACCAAAACGAGTGAAAAGCTGCCGGAGGTTTTCGATTGTTGAGGATGACGTAGGGCTATCCACGAGGAAAATCTCGGGCCATTTGCTGAAGGCATCGATAGGTAAGAACGACCATTGATCGGTCNGTCCTGCAAAGTCAACATGAATACGCGACCAAGGTTTGTCAGGAATTGGCCAATTGGAAAGCTTGGCTTTTACTGGCATCTTGGACGTCTGCTCGAGTACGCCCAACTGACTACATATATTTGCTCGTTGTTTCATGATCAAAAACACACTCTGACTGTCGTTTCTTGGCAGTGTTTGATCTCCAATTGTTGGGGCCTAGACAAGAGGCGTACGTATTGATCACATCGTCCTGACATCAAGACATAACAAATGGCGACGGAAAAGTCGGAAACTTCAATGAATTTTTCGGCAGATCAATTTCAACTCCTGTTAATGCAGCAACAGAAACAGATGGAGGCTCAACTGAAACTGATTGAATCACTGACGCAGCAGCTCAACCTGCAAACAACAGAATCAGTTTCACATGAAATCCCCTCTAGCGCTGCCGAAATGCTTGCAAATTCCATCACTGAATTGAACTATGATCCTGAAACTGGTCGCACTTTCGAGGCGTGGTTCAAACGCTGGGAAGATGTGTTCCGAACAGATTTCAGTTTTCAAGATGATGCATGGAAAGTGCGCCTACTGGTCCGAAAACTTGGAACTACTGAACA